AGAGAGACAGAGAGAGTGCATGTGCTCACCAGAGAGAAAGAAAGAACTCCCCCCCCACCCCCCCGGGGAGCATGCTCACACCAGAATTCTCTTTCTTCCAACTCCCCCCCCACCCCCAAGGGGAGCATGCTCACACCAGAATTCTCTTTCTTCCATTTCTCCGTCCCATCAGGACTTGGGACCTGCATACACATGCACCCATATGTTTTTCAATATGCTAGGGCCCAGATTTGAACTGTAGTCAGCAATGTGGGATCTAGCTTCCAATGCACTTCACTTAACCACTGCACTATGGGGCCAGCCCTAAATTATTTTCATAGTAATCACACTAACATTTAAAATTATGTCTGTCACTGGAAGAACTGTCTAAATTTGAGCTTTCTAGAAGGATTAGCTGTTTTGATGTTATATGCAAAAGATGCATATTCATATGTATTGAATATGAATTACAAAGCAATATTAAAAGAGGGAACCAGCGGTTAGTGTAATGGCTATGTCGCTGGACTCCCATGTAGTCGACTGTGGTTTGCGTCCCGGACCCGGTGGCTTAAAACTCACGCCGGTCGCGTGTGCGTACGTGCCCAAGATCCCGAGAGGAGAATGGAGGAGAAGGGATTGTGGCATGACCATCCCCCCTGGGGGGTGATTTCTCGCTTTCTGTCTCTATGTCTCTCTCTGTCTGCCGAGCGCACGCGCTCTATAGCAAGAAAACCTCTTTCAAAAAAAAAAAGCAATATTAAAAGAGAAATATACATCACAGAAAATATGAAAGCACAGTAGGTAAGAGCCAAGTTAATAAGCACAAATTGTGTATCTTTTACTATCCCATATACTATTATTGGTGTTTCAGAAATAATATTAAAAAACGAGATGTGTTAATGGGTCCTATGTAATTCTACTGTACTAAATCAGATCATGACTAAGAATGCTTCGTTCTACTCTTTTTATTTTGTAGGTATTACTACTTGGCATTCAGAGCACATCAAACCCCTCTGGCCAGCAAAGACAGCTGTGTTGCTATCTTGGAAAAGTCCCGCTTAGATCACTGGGTACTGGGAAAAACAAAGGTAGTTCTTTCTTTATTGTTCAGACTGTCACATGTGTGCCCTGCCACTTTTTGTCTGCTTTTGTCTCTTACGGGTTCTTTAAGTTGTAGGCAGGAAGTTGTAGCAGGCAGGAGCCCAACCTAACAATGATCTCTGCTAGTCTCGAGTCAGGAGTTCAGGGGCCTTAGGGACCAGAAGAGGAGGGTTTACTTCCTATTCTGTATATAAATTGGAAAGCCATTTAGCATTTCTAGAATGAGTTCTTTGAGTTCATTTTAAAATGTCTATTTTTTCCATGCCGCTTGTTCTAGAACTACGTGTGAATACGCAAATCATATTAATGGCACTGATGAGTTTCTTTTAGAGCGTCACCTGTCTTTTCATTAGACCCATGTTGCGTTACTTACTGCATACCATGGTTATTAGTTTCACCAGTGTCGTTTTTCACCTGGGAGGACATTACATCCCTGTAGGAGTCCAGATCTTTATGGTCCATCCCGATTGGCCTACAAAGTCAGCCTCAGCCTGATTGTTGATGGCAACACTGCTGCTTCTCAGTGGAAATGAGATCATTGAATCACCAGGCCCCTCTACCTCAGAACTTCCTGTGCTGGCCATGGCTCAGTCCCGTTGGTTATACCTCTATAGAAGCTGAAGGGAAAG